AAGCACAAGAAACAGCAGCAAAAATTTACTAACAGCAAGACAGAGCAACACATGTTTGTCTCAGTTTTAACATTTTCTCAGTCTATTCAGTCGGGACTTTCAGACTGCATGGATCTATTGACAGAGTTAGTGTAGTGGTCTACATGTGCAGTAAGGAGGAAAAGGATTTTGTGAGAAATGATTGATTAGTCAAAGAATGAGTTTTCCACGTTGCACTTATGGAGATGTGTGCATCTCAAATGTGCAAAGAAGACTTTGTAGACTGAGTCTAGTTCTAGATCATAATTTAACTTAGTTTTTCTCTTTTAGCAGGAAGTGGTCACTACATGTTAGTGATAAAGTGATGGAAATGTGATTTGTTTTCTCTGGTATTTGGTCATTAATCAAAGTATCAGATAAACAATTAAGTTGATTTTTGAGGGGCAAAGGAATGACTGAACTAAATGGATTTAGGAACATGTTTCCAAAATTCACATTTACCACAGCATGAAGCAAGGGCATAAGTTATGAAGTCAGTGAGATACATCATCTGGGAAGCATGAACACCTCACCTGTATTACGCCGACAGAGTGACCAGAACAGAGAGTCCCGATGAAAGCAAGACCCACAGTTGTTCCTTCAAAGTTGATACCACTGAAAGAGAAGATCAGAAAGTCTTAAATTCATATACAGGATTCATATCATCCATCAACTCACTAATCTAGCTACTACTAGATTAGATTAGATTAGATTAGCTACTGTGAACTTTCCTGAATGTTGAGGTGTGAACATTCAAGCACATTCTTATTTAAGATTCAATAATGGATCTGCTTGTGTATCTTGTGTATAAAACACAAGTTACACGAGCGTTATGTGGAAGCTTAAAACCTCTTAAGCTGATGTGTCAGGCCGGTTTAACCTGGGAGAAAAAAATATGGATACTCACAACTCAGATTTCTGAAATTTGTTTTCTCTTTCCTGCTCGGTTACTGTTGAAAGTATGAGACATTTTGCTCCACATGATTTGAGTCTGACTGATTCTACTTATAGAATCTATTCATACCTTATAAGATGTGCATTGTCATGTTTTATCCTGGTCACCAGCTCAGAGTTTCTCCACTTCATGAAAGCATCCAGGCTTTCTCCTGCTGGGGGGGTCACAGAGATCAGGTCACCATTCGTCCATATCTCCAACCCCACCAGAGCAATAAAGGTCCTCACAGATTTGTAGACCTGAAGAAGACAACATTGGGGATGTAGCATTATACTCCAACTGCTAGCAGCTACTGCAGAACAGTATGTAGTACAGTGTGTCTGTGTTGGTATGGAATCTGTATAGAAATAGCAAAAAAACAGACTCACCATGTTGAGAAAGTTGACAATCTCAAATATTCTCTGTCTCATCTTCTTTTGATCCATGTTCATCTTCACATACTGAAACACCACAAGACAAATTTCTCATCCTGCTTCTCAGCAGTTTATCTTATAGAAATTAAATTTTGCAAACCAAGGGGAGAAAAGTTATAAAAGTTATAAAAGAAGATTAATTTTACCGCGCGGTTATCAGCAACCAGGACGAGCTCAATGTATTTCCGCTGCTGTACAATAGAAATACCCTGAAGAAAAGGAACAACACAAATGAAGACTTTTGGGCATGTCTACTTAAACTCTGTCACATTTAACTTGAGATAGTTTGAAGACCTAAAAGGTTTCAGAGAACAAAACTAATTGTGTTACCCCTGATCTAGAGCGGCTGCGGCTTGTTGGAGGTTCATAGTCATCACTCCAGCTGGTGTTAGTGACCCCACACACGGCAGGCGTGAAGTTCTTTTCATTAAAAGCCGTCACTGCATGATCCCCCTCATCATCACTGGATAGTGGCTCAATCAGGTACCTTTGAGCAGATGTTCTGAAGTAACCCCTAAACCAAATCATGCTGGTTAGCTCTCATTTTTCAGATGTTGCTTTGAGGCTGACTCAACTCAGGAACCTAGCCACTGTCATCTAAAGACTTCCATCCATCCATTCGCTTCCG